TCTTTCAGGGGATTGCCGCATCAGTACATGCTTAGTGTCATCAAGATGGTTGTGGCATGTTGCATCCACACACACACGCACACACACACACACACTCACACACACACACACACACACACACACACACACACACACACACACACACAGACTTATATGTCAACAGAACGTATGTGTAGACACCACTGTGGAAGCCCGGGCCATATGCTGTCATGAAGTCATACTCATCCTTCAATGATCCTTTTTACGGTTGGCAGGACAATGTTTATTGATCACAGGCTTCGCATTCTCAGCGATCAGATAATTCAGTAGAAGCTTTCTTCAATGGGAGGGATACTCCTGTTGAGGTTATAGATGGTGCAGTGGGCAGACCAGGATGTGTTCGCACTCCGCCACCATGTGGATTGAATGAAGAAGAGGTTGCGTGGTTTCCTTGCCGGCCGGTCATGCATGTAATGAAGCAGACCGTTCCTTGTGTGGTGGGCAGGACTGGATGGCTCTCCCATCGGTGGGTGATCAGGTGAATGCGGCACAAAATACTGAGCAGCTAAGCAAAACTTTGGAGATGAAAGTCGATGACCATTGATTTAGTTCAGTAGCACAACTTTGGACAGGAAAAAGTTTTGCTTTGCCATTTCTGACTGGCCCTTTGTTGATGGCCTTCTGGTGTTTATTCTTGGTAGCTTATGTTGTGAGCGGAATCTCGGATTCATTGCGGTAGTAGTGGCAGACGTGCTGGATTACACTTGGGCTCAGATGCATGTCTGGTTTTTGGTGGGCGCCGCGGATGCCGGGGCAAGACGAGAGAGTACATACATTTGTATTTAGATGTCTCATAGATGTGCAACCTTTTTCACATTCAAGATGTAAGGTGTGTTGACTGCGATGGCGATAGCTGCATGTACACTATTCTGGGGGCATACGTAGCGAATTCCTTTTTGTGAGTGGCGATCCTGAGTTGCTGGATGACTCAGAAGAGCACGACAAAAGGGGGCATCTGCCTCTCCGTCACCTAGACTTTCTGAAAAGTCTGTGAACATATTCTGGAGTAACCTTCGCCCCCAAAATACTCAAGAGTATATTAGGCAGAGCCTGTAGCAGCACAAACAGCTGGAGGTGTCCAAGGCATGAGCATGAACTGGGCAGCCTGCATGCCTGCCTTCGACTTGGCACTTCTGGAGCCTAGTTGAGTTAATCATGCTCCTTTCCATGTGTGACTAAGAAGGGGAAAGATCTAAGGTCATGCCTTCGCTGGACCGACGGAAGCACTACCAACAGGGGTGCGCTTGACGCTCTGTGGACAACTTCTGGCAGATCATACGACCAGATTTGCATGCCCTAGTCGGCTAGTAGCATTATTAAGGCCATACAGTGCTTCGGTGTACAACGGCTGGGTTTACGTACATAGCCCATAAGAAGAGGTCACTCCCTGCGTACATTACGAGAGAGATTGCACTCTGGCGGCGCAGGGGCCAACCATGATGTACTCATGCGCTTGGGACAGGGCTGTTGCTGCGATAGCGTCATCTCAAGTTTTGACGCAGCTTGCTGCCATTGCGTGCCATGCGCTTCGTTTGCGAATGCTGTGGATGGTGCAACTGTGCAGGCAATTCCTTAGTGGTGAAAAAAAAAAAAATCATTGCAATGATTTTTACGAATGCTATTTTAGCTATTACAATGTCTATTACTATGTTTTCATTGGCAGGAATACCTCCACTAGTGGTGAAAAGTTGAAAATCATTGCAATGATAGTTGTCATTGGGAGTGGAGCAGGACGCACCAATTGCGTTCAAGATCTGAGCGATCGGCGTTGAGAAGGCGAAGTTGGGGAGGGTGGGAAAAGTTTTGAAGGAAGGGCGACGAGCCCACACACAAACAAGGGGGGTTGGGGGGGCCTTGCATGACTTTAAACTGTTACATGGTTTTCTACACCGACTCCTTTCCGACGTCATGATTGAATCTGTTTTTTATTGTGGCTCTTCATCTTGCAATCAGACTCGTTCTCTTCTTCGCTCAGCATACATGAAAACAGATGTCAACACACTGGCGCCAGGAGCCCACACAAGGCTCAAAGATATTACAACCGAGAACACAGTTCCAATACAAACTTGCTTCGAACAGCTATGGTGCCTGTGCGCCTTCACCCTTCCCTTCCAACAGTGTTGAGGATACAATCTTGATAGTATGGATGATGTTATCTGACCTTTCCGCTAAAAGGGAAAGAAAAAGAAGAAATGGAGAGTTAAGCGTTCAGGAACAAGCATAGAAATCGATCGGAGAATTACGTACAATGATACAGCACCATTGTTTGCTCTATCTTGCTCTGTGGATGATGTAAATGACCCTGCAGTTTTTGTTATCATAATAATAATGGTTATCGGGCCTGTGGAGAGATGTTGAGCAGAATTGAAGTTAAGGATGTGAAATCACTGAGTCTGTTGAGATTCCTAAGCCCGCCCTAGATCTAACTGGATCGGAGGCAGAACCAAGATGTGTTGATGATTGAAGGATGTGAAATCTGAGTCTGTTCATAATGCTGGGACCACCCTGTTCAAGATGCCCCTTTTAAATTAAAAAAAATAGAAAAAAAAAAAGGAAGCAAGAACGAGGGGGGGTGGTAAGGATGGTGTGTAACAAATTCTTCCTGATGAGCAATCACTACGGTATGTCAAGGGATGGAATATGTAGAAGCTCCTCAAGGACGTGGTGGAACTGCGGCACGAACCCAAACATATAAAAACACAAAGCGAAGGGCCTTTATGCTACGCTAGAGTCTTGGCTCTCCTAGATGGGAGGGGTCAGGAGTTTTCCCGCCCTCTGAACCTCACGTTATAGTTTTGCATCATATGGCTCTCTGTTGCTTCGCTCAATTTAATGTAATGTTCTCGATAAACTAGTATGTTTATATAGGACCAAGCCCGTCTCAGCACATTGAACCTGTGGACCATATTTCTTCAGTGCGCTTCTTTCTCAATCGTGTCTTGGAACTATTTCTTGGTGATTTGGCTGATTTGAGAATTCTTGTCTTCAAACTATTTAGTGGTGATTTGGCTGATTTGAGAGTATATTGAATCTATATTTATAAGGCATTTGCCCATATGGGAGATAGGGGCGCTGGTACGAGTAGACACCTCTTATCTTCCCCCGGGGAGGCTCTATCTATTGGTGGGGAGCAACACCTGCTGGAAATCGGGACCAGTGTCTTCCAACCTGCCAGCATTGATTACCCTGAAGACAGGGGATTGACTGACCAGGCTCAAATAGGGAGGGGGCCTCTTCAGCTCTGCTGCTGGGCGCCCGAACGGTGTGACCATCTAGCCCCCTTGTCTTCGCTGTGATTGTCTCTCCCTCACTCTGCTCCATACCATTGGAGATCCACCATTGACGAACCATGAGGCGGGAGGGGTCGGGGAAGTCCAAGGGGAGGAAAAACTCTGCCTTGACGAATCACTTTATATTGCGTGCGTTTTAAATTTTAATTCATATCTAGCTACGACCAATCTACGAATTGATCTCTGATGAGTTGATTTGATATATGGCTAAACTTCTTTCCGAAAAAACACGCTCCACAAAGTGGAAGTTTCATTTTGGGTTTTAGTTGAAATTACAAGAGTCGTATGAAACTCTTGCAAGGTGCTCAAAAATTTTGAAAAGGAATAAGCGTAACAGATTAATTTTCATGGTTAAATCAATGGAACTTTTGTGTATTTTGAAACAAAAACTCAAATAAAATACAGGCAACTATAGGAATTGCATGAAATATGTAAATTGATCTAATCGAGGCCGTTTTTTTTGGTACTTTTATGTTGTTGTTTTTGTTTCGGTATTGTTCGCCATCGAATCGCCAATTTCTTTGACTACAATTTTTCAAAGATTGAGAACATTCTCAATTGACTCTTTAAAAACTTCTGAATTGGACAAGGTTTGATCGACAGTGGCAGTTTGATCAGGCTTTCAAGTTAACCATCTTTTGTTCCTCACATGTTCAGAAGATCTGTTCTAACAGACGTTCTAAGTTTTTAAATGTAGTAGGCTTATCCATCAAATGGATTTCATTTTTCTGCTAAAAGAAAAGAGGAGAAAAATAATAAGAGGGGAAAGGATCACTGAAAACCCTTTAGGCTAGGAAAGAGTTGCGGGCGGCCTGGGCCTTGGAAACTCCCCTTCGGAATTTGGTCCCGCCACGGTCCCTCCAGCTGAGGGGTATTCCATATATGTCCCTCCTTTCAACAGCTCAATTTTTAGATCAGTTAAGTAGTTTGGACCCCTTCCTACCCTGTCCTGGGAGTTGTGGCGCTGGAGATCTCAGTTTCGACCTGAGATTTCATCCCCCATATTCCTAGGATCCTTGGTACACCCCTTTTTCACAATTTCGGGCTCACTCCAGTCTGATCAGGAAGTTGAACAGGGCGTGAGGTTGGGTGTCACAGTGCTCACGAGACTTTCCTTTGTTTTTCCTTTCTACCCTTCATCTCATTGCCATCTCTTCCTCCACTTAGCAGTTGGTAAGGGTTGGGAGAGGTGGTGGTTGTTGTGAGTGTGCTTCCCCTCTTCTGAAGGTGTTTAAATAGTGGGTCGCTTCCTTTTTTGTTTGTTCAAGTTTGAAGTGGAGGCCATTGTTTATGGCTTTATTTTTTTGTTTGTTTGGGTCTTTCTTGCCTCGTTGGACTTTCTCCTTTCTTTTGGCTTGTTCGTCGTTTGTTGCCTTATTGGATTTTTCTCCTTACCAGAGTTGAGATTATGAAGAATCGCTCTGGGTTTGACCATTGCTGTTCCTAGATTTCCACCTCAAGATTTTCATCTCAAGATGAGAGAAGGTTAACAACAGTTGTATTTTTCATCACCACTTCATGACACCCTTCACCACTTCAGGATGTAGCCTGCCTAAACAGATGGTTTTCAGGGTCTTCGGACCTTTCACCACTTCAGGATCATTCATGATTTTCAGACTGTCCAAAACTCTCACGTCAGAATTTTCATTCCTGAATTTTCAGCTACCCGATAACCGCTTGTGCTCAAGATTTCCATCTCAGGCTGGGTAATTGTCTAAGTAGTTTTCCGGGGTTATTGTTGAGGGATTCCCAGCCTCACTCCCAGTTTTTTAGTAGTAAAATAGTATTGGAAAGGGGGGAGAAAAGGGGGGGGGGGGGCATGACAACCCTCTCTGTTGTCACAAACACTCGCCCATGACCCGTCAACAAAGAGAGAAGAGAACAAAAACCGACACAGCGCTTGCTTGTAGAAGAGAGTGGGCCTCCTTCCACCTCTGGCAAAATCTGAAAATGACCGAAAAAATGCTACTGAGTGCATCTTTCTGATTCTATTTGCACATATGTTTTTTTTTTTGGGGGGGGGGGAACGTGCTCCAATCTATATGTGGGGAGCAGCACGTGCTGGGAACCGGGCCCAGCATCCCATTTATGGAGAAATCCTTGAGATACCGGGGCCATTACACGGCTTCGGCAAAGAAAGACAACTATGTAATCTAGACAAATTCTTTATTATTTGCACGTATATTGAACTCGCCCCTTGAGGGATCCGATTTCCAGCAGGTGCAGCTCCCCACCAATAGACTGGAGCAACCAGGAAAAAAAAAAAAAAAAAAGAGAGAGAGAGAGAGAAGTGCAGCAGTACTAATGGGCCAAGCTCAGTTATCTTCTTATGTCGGTTCAATGTTGTTTTTCCTTTTGAGGGGGACCCTTTCCTTATGTAGGGGGACCCTTTCTTTTGTCTTCTTAGTTCCTAGCCTTTTCCATTGGGACTTAGAGAGGGACCCCACAGCGGCACGTAAAATTTTTGGAATTCTCACTCATGGCGGATGTCATCCGCCGCCATCGGATAGTCTCATCCGCATGGGATCCCACAGCATCCGCATTGCAAGGAGGGCCCGCAGAGGTCGCTTTCCCGGAAAGGAAACAGAGGAGAAACTTTCCTTTTCGGGATAGTATTTTCGAAAGACCCGTGCGGGTGGTGTGGTCGAAGGAAAGTTCCTGGTCTGTCCGTGTGGCCGTTCTGCGCGACGACAGGTGATACCTCGTGGACAAGCGACAAGCGAAATGCAAGAGGCGTCGCACAGCCCCGGAGCCTTCCATATGCAAAGTGGCCCGCTCCCCTTCGCGTTTTGGCGTAGAGCCGTTGGCGGTGTCCCACTGTGTGGGGTAGGCTGGGCAACAGTGGCGGTGCCAACGACTGGGTTCCGTGTGCGTTGGAGGGAAAAAAACAAGTGTCCCACGCGGTCGTCTTCACAGGGCACGCGGGACATCTCTGCGAAGGTGCGGCCGTGGAGTCGGTGATACCCATCCGCCATAGCTTGCACACCAGCAAGAACGTATGTGCAGTGACGTCTGTCGTGACGTCTGTGCCGAAATATTCGTTGTTTTTGTATCGTTTCTGCTGGAGGCGGCTTGACATGACAGAGGGTGATGGTTCCATGGCCATGGATTGGGAAGGTGCAGGCGAAGTCGGGGAGGGGGGTGAAAGCGAGGACATCCTCTTCACCATGGTCCTGACGGTGTTGGAGATGGTCCGGCAGCGAAACAGGGCGGCGCTGTCGATTATCAACGTTGTTGCTGCAGCGTTGACGTCCTGCCCGGAAATGGCGAATGTTGTCATGCTCCTGGCAGGAGGGTATGCGCATAGCGTGTCTCTGGTGTCTGTTGCTTACAGCTTCCTTGTGCAACAACGTTCGACCAGAAGGCGGTTCTGGGTGCTAGACAGGACAGGCGGGACATGGAAAGACCTCCAACGGGTCGGTGACGCTCACGACAAGGTGTTTCGCAGATTCTGTCGGCTTCCAAGAACGTCGTTCCAGGAGGTTGCTGCCCGCATCAGTCCCAATATCCAGCGGCAAACAACGAATTGGAGACAACCATTACCTGCGGAGCAGAAGTTCGCATGCGCACTCATTCAATGGGCGACGGGAGGGTACTACAGACAGATGGGTCATGGGTTGGGGATGGGTTTGGCGAGCGCTTTGCGCAGCAATGAGGAGGTTGCTGGCGATTATCAGAGAGTTCGGCCACCTCGTTGCGTTCCCCCAAGGGCGGCGTCTGCAGGAAGTGTTGGATGCTTTTGAGGCGAAAGGCTTTCCTGGGTGTGTAGGTGCAATTGACTGCACCCACATGTACATTGAGAAGCCCAGGAACGAGCGGTCGGAATGCTACTACGACCGCACGAGACAATACTCCATTGTCGCTCAGGTAGTGTGTGACCACGAACGCAGGATCCTTGATGCGTTCGTTGGCTGTCCGGCGTCTGTTCACGACTCCCGTGTCATCCGTTTGTCGAACTTGTACATAAACGCACAGGGCGGTCGGGGCATCTTTCATGAAGGTCACTCCTTCCTATTCGATGGAACCGTCGTGCGGCGTTATGTTTTGGGCGACGCAGCTTATCCTTTGTTGCCATGGTTGATGACTCCCAAGGGAGGGGACAGCCGCACTCCAATGGAGGTGTGCTACGATGAGTGCTATACCGTGGCGAGGAGTCCGATCGAAAGAACGTTCGCGCTGCTGAACGGTGTGTGGAGGAACTTCAGGAGGAGGCACATAGGCAACATGACAACCATTCGCAAGCAGTTCATGGCATGTTGCATCCTCCACAACCTCATGTTGGACATGAGGATTGACATCGATCCGGATGACCTTGGCAGCGACTCGGATGGGGACGACGACTCCGATGGTAAAGACGGACGGCCACGCAGGCGACGTCGTCGAGGCAGGAACAACGTCCAACATGATCGGCCATGCCCGCGAGACCCGCGAGACGCCACTTACGGCAGCGCCGAGGGGAAGGTGGCAAAGGCGAGGCTCATGCGGCATGTTGAACACCATGTTCAGGTCCATGGTCGGCCTGGTCCTGGTCCCTGTCCTTGGCGCGGTTCGTAGTGCCGTCTCTAGAAGAGAGAGAGAGAGAGAGAGAGAGAGAGAGAGAGAGAGAGAGAGAGAGAGAGAGAGAGAGAGAGAGGTTTGAAAGAAGCTATTATTTTGCGATATCTGTGTCGAGATGTCTTCCTTTGTTTTTGGTTTATGGTGTTGTTCGCATACGTATGTGACGATATGTGCATATACATATACATATACATTCAAAACTGACAACATATGTGTACATACATGTCTTTACATATATTTTATATATATATATATATATATATACTTCAAGAAGTAAATTTTTTTACAGATAAGCTTCAAGATGAACTGGGTATCAGTTCTGATAATCTTCTTTCCTCAAGAGGAATATTAGCTGAATCGACATCCTACAACAAGGAGATAGAGGAGATTGAGGAAAAAACTGCACAGCCCCTCGTTTGTTGTCCTCTTCTCCCTCTCTGCCTACGGTTTACCGGGCAGTTCTATTTGACGATATATATATATATATATATATATATA